ACCTGGAAACTGAGACCAGACAGTATACTGGGTTCAGGGCTATCCCATATTGCATGAGGTGATCCAGAAAAGTGCTTTCCATGGTTGATATTTGATGCAGCTCTCTTTCTATAGTTTGGTTCAACTTTGTCAAATCTACACTCATTCAAATGTCTCCCTTTGGTTTGGGAACAACGCAAATTGGTGATAACTGGTCAGTTGGTTCTTCAACATGCTCTTTGGCAACAAGGAGTGCCAAAAATGTGATCTCCTTCTTTACCATCCCGAGAAAAGGCTAATGAAATCGTCGAGACGATGTGAGGCAAAAATCCTTTCAGCTCTTATGGTGTATGTTTTAGGAAATTCAAGAATGAGGCCTAAACTGTGGATGTCAGGAATACCATGGAGTAGTTCAGGGGTCCCTCTGACAACATACATTTTTCCTTTGACGTGGATGTGCCTATGACTTGAGGTCTTATCAACACAGCCAACTATGTAAAGTTTTGTATCTCCAGCCCCAAGTAATTCTGTATCAGGAACTGGTAGCTTGTGCGATGTATATATCGTCGGAGACTTTATTGCATCCAACTCTTGCAAACCGCGTGTGTGTGCTCTGTTTGTATTTGCATAATGCGCCTGCTTACTCAAATATGCGTGCAGAAGATATAACTTATAATAGGTGCTAATTATAACCTGCTAATATGTTACATCCCCTTCTCTTAAAATTATGTTAATTAAAACAGAAACAAGCAAAAACAAAAACACATATATTCGAGCCAATGTCTAAGGTATAAATATCTTGTATACATGAGGATTGTTAGGTTATACTTCCTTATACTTCCTTGAGGAATGCAACTCGACAAGTTGTTTGCTAGGTTTTTGGAAGTATTGTTTGGTCTAAGATGGATCTTATTTCTTCGTAGCTGCGCACCAGTTTCAGTTTCTATAATATATGAGCGGGGCGTATCTCCCTGATCTACGACTCTACCAGGATTCCACGGCTTTCTCTCGGGATCTTGTACATAGATGGCTTGGTTCCCGTGTAGTTCAGGGAGTTCCTTAGTGTACCTGTTGTAATTGTAGCACTGGTTATCTTGTCTCGCTTTGAGCCGATTTCTAACTTCTTGGTTCTGTTTCTTCTTTGAAGTCTTCCATTTTAGCTGGGGTGATTCTAATTAGGTGGTGAATTTTCACATTCATGTCTGGTACTTCAAATTCATCCAACGGTGAAAGGCATGACAGGGTGTCAGCTGTGACCATTTCTCCTCATGGAAGAAATTTAACATCGTAGTCATAGGGTTGTAGACGCCACATCATTCTTTGAAGACGTGGAGGTGCTTGCATCAGGTTCCTTTTTGAGGATCTGTTTAAGGGGGCGATGCTCTGTTTTGACCACAAGCGATCTTCCGTAGAGGTACGAGTAGAACTTTTCGCAGCCACAGACCACTGCTAATAGCTCTCGTTCAATATTGGCATATCTGGTCTTCGTAAGGGTAAGTGCTTTCGATGCAAAGGCTATTGGCCTGTTGTTTTGGAACAGAGCTGCGCCCAAGCCCTTAATTGATGCGTCAACGTGAAGGGCAACTGGTTCGTTTCTGTCATTGTACGTCAGGGTCGTTGTGATACATATCAATGACTTCACTTTCTCTTTCATGGTTGCCATCCCTAAAAAAGTGTGAAGCTCCTGCTTGTTTTTGGGTGGTTCTAGATTTTCTACGGCTCTGACTTTGTTTGGGCTGGGCTTGACACCGTCTGGTGTGTAAAGCATATCAAAGAAATTATACTCTTTTGTTTTGATAACGCACTTCTTGTCATTGAGCTTGATGCCAGTTATTCTGGTACGTTCCATGGTATCATGTAGGTGTATGTCGTGCTCTTTGTCATTCTATCCGTAGACTGTAACGTCATCTGCAATGCCAATGGCTCCCTGGCAATCACGATATATCTCGTCAATCTTTAATTGAAAGATATCTTGGCTCATTCGTAAGCCAAACGACATCCTAAGGAAACGGTATCAACCAAATGGTGTATTAAAACTTGTTAGGTATGAAGATTCCTCATCTAATTTGACACTCTAATAGCCATTGTGAGCATCGAGCTTGCTAAAGAGCCTCGCTCCTGCTAATTTGGGTGTAATTTCCTTTAAAGTGGGTATAGAATGATGTTCTCTTTTGATCACCTTATTCAGGTCTTTAGGGTGAGGCATAAACGAAGTCGCCCGTTTTATTTTCTTCTAATAACCAGGGAGTTAACTCAATCTGTGGGTTGTGTTACTTTTGCAATGATATTTTGGCTTTCCGTCTCACGTAGTTCGGCTTGTAGTTTGTCTTTCAACTCCATGGGCACTTTGCGGGGTGATATGTATAGTCGTCAAAATATCCAATAATGCCATTGAAACATTCTGGGTGCATCTCCATCAATTCTAGTTTATTTCGGATTGGTGACCGTTCTCTCAGTGGTTCATGACTTCCGATGTAATTCGGGCTTTTCTTGTCAGTGTCTGAATTTTTAGCAGGAACATTGAAGCTGTCAGTTGGATCGGCCTAATCTAGTTGATTTGTTCTGAATGTAAAAAGTAGGGAGACTAGTTTCAGTGCAGTGCACGCTGTTAAACCGAGAATAGCTGGCCCTGAAGTGTCTGTGACGTAGAAAACGCAGTCGATCTTCTTATCTTTGTACTTGCAGGGAATATTTATGATGCCAAGCTGCTTGATTATAGAGCCGCCATATGCTGAAAGGGCGGCTTCGTTCTTTTCCAGTGTTTCTGGTTTGGGATTTCCTTCGTCGTCAAACTTCTCTGGGGCGATTATGCGTAGTAGTCTGATGGGCAAAACATTGCTTTTGCACCTGTGTCTACCTTGTACTGGAGATTAATTTTCCGCTTCTTGTCTGGCTGAGTTATCTCAAATGCTGCAAAGGCTTTGTCGCGTGTATCGTGTATCAAATGTCGCGTGTCTTCCATGGTGTTGACTTCGATGGTAGTAATTGTCAGGATTTCATCGTCATTAACGTCGCTCCTGTCATCAGTCGTGTGAATCACTCTCTTGAAGACCAGCTTTTTTCTTTGGTTGAATTGTTTCCGTTTTCCGAACCGGCAGACAGATTGCCAATGATTAGCTTTGCCACATTTTCAACATGATGTACCGTAGGCTGGACATTTGTTCCTCCGGCGTTGTTTTACGCAGTTGTTACAGAATTCCCTTTCTTGTTCCTTACTAATAGCATCAATACTTCTGTCCTCTTGATAGCTTTTACTGCTTACTGCTAGTTTTTTCATGAGTTTACTTGTCGCCTCGTGGCTCCTTGCAATCTCAATAGCGGCTGCAAGGGTCAGTGATTTATCTCGGTTTATTAGAGATTTTTTAATATCAGGATTTCTTGACCACCAAATAAACTGATCTAAAACTCTATCTTCGACTTCGATGTTGTCGCGAAATTGACATTTTGCTGCTAGAATATTTAGTCTTGAAATAAAACCATCCACTGGCTCGCCTTGTTCTTGTCGTATTCCTTGTAGTGTATATCTCGAGATATCTGTGAATTCGATGACTCGTCTTCGCTTCCAGTTGATTCTCGAACCGTTTGAAGATAATGGCAAGCTTTTTTCTGTCTTCCTCCTTTGTGAATATCCAGCTGTTGTATATATCCAGGCCTTTTTCTCCCGACCAGAATAGAATATAGCTCACTTTTTCATCGTCGTCGGTGTCTTTGAGAACGCTCGAAAATATAAGCTAACATTTTTGTTTGAAACTTGTGAATGCATTTATCGGATCAGGGGCGTCCCATGCCAGTCCACCTGTGGCGACGCAAAAGACGTTGCTGCTACCATGATTCGCTTTTGTTGGCCTCTCTAGTTCTCGATTCAACTGTAGAAATTATCCTTGTAAACCGCTTCCACCATGCGATTTATATATCGTCGAAGACTTTATTGCTTCCAACTCTCGCACACCACGTGTGTGTGCTCTGTCTGTATTTGCATAATGTGCCTGCTTACTTAAATATGCGTACACAAGATATAACTTACAATAGGTGGTAATTATCACGTGCTAATATGTTACAGCTTGCCATAGGAAGGGCTGGTAGCCTTCCTCATGCATAACTGGCCTGGACCCAAGTTCTTATGCACATGGGAGTGTATCCTTTCCAGAGAGCAACCACGACAAAAAATGGGACAGTGAAGGTAGCTCTGGGTCAGGACTTAGGACGTCTCAGTTTTACTTAAATTAGTTATAGATAATCGTAGCTGAACCACTCCATGCTTGTGTTGACATGTAAGGTTAACTATTGAAATTATATTCAGAAATTAGTGACGTTTACATTGATAAGACACGCGATAGCAAGTTTCGCTGCCAGACGAGAGTCACGTTTCGTTTAATGCGAAACAAATGTTGTATAACTGTTTACTTGCACATGTCATGCATTTGCTTATCGTTCTGCATACGTCCTTTTGCTCGCGGAAAATCCGTTGTCTTTCAGTGAGCCTTAGTCGCCTTTAAGATTGATGCATTGAGGAACAGCGACGAGAATGGTTGTTTTAAAAAACAAATTAACTTCGACAACAAGAAACTACATTAGGAAACCACAATGCTCTCCACCCCAAGCTAACGTAACTTAGGTGAAATTCACATATCACGGCCAAAGCCCCAATTTTCCCCCTCTGTCCCATTAATTTCTCTTGCTGCAACTTTGATGGAATGCAGGCAAAAGGTTTTCTCCACGGAAAGCTTTTTCGCTCTCAGGACCCTTCAATCGCTTGATACGCAAAAGATTTGCAAATATTTGCGAACAAACTTTAAAGCTGAAGATCTTGAGAAGGCAAATATTATATATGCTAGAGGCAAAATGAGTAATTTCGAATTTCGTGTCGTGAAACCAAAAGAAATTTAATCACAGTGGGATATCAGAACGGGGGAAAACGACTCCAGGGGGTAGCAACGGAAACTAGCAAACAGCTCAATCACAATAATCAAGTCGGTTTTAGTTCTAAAGGACTAGGTAAAAAAAAATAACATAACCAGACATTGACAAATAAAAACAAAAAGGATTTTAATATCTATTTTAACGTAATGTAAAACACTATTAAATGAACATAGCTTTTTCTTAGAGAAAAACAAAAACCCCTAAGCAAAAAATAATAAAAATTGTCAATACCTCAAGTATTTGAAATCTCTTTTTTCAACCAGTCTTCAAGAATGGTTGCAACATCATCTCTATCCATATCATCCTCTCTAAGAAACTCTATGAGCTTCTCTACAGTTGCCTCACGTTTAACAGACCACTGGTCAAGAAGATCATGGGTAGGATTTGCTGACCGTTTTAAATTTTTTATTACATCTTGATCAATTCCCATTTTCTCTCCAAGTAAGCGATAATCTTTAAAATTATAATTATCTTCTACATTAAGTTTAAGGCAGATTTTACTCTTCACTTTAATTGGAATGTCTGCGACTTTAAAAGATCGCCCAGTGGCAGTCACTTTAGCCTGATCTGCATTTGAATAATTATCGTTGGCACTTTTTAGGTCTGCTGCGGCATTATCCATCTGATTCATTCCACTGCTCTCTTTGTTGATCTCCTTGTTAGCCTCAACGCCTGGCCTCTTATCCTCCACTATGTTACATTCATCTATAAACAGGAAAGAAATGAAGCTTGTCAGAACAGGTTGCCCTCTTTGTTGTTAATGGGGAAAAAAACATTCGTAACCACCACTAATGAACACAACCTTTTTTTTTAGGCTTGCTTAGGGGGGATATATAAACTTTAATTTAATATATACAGGCTCACACGAATACACACACAGACAACACCCACAAATTGTACTAACAATGAGTTAAACCTACATAGCTAGGGATATATTATTTAAACAATCAAACAATGGCCATTGAAAAGTAATTAGTATTAATTATAAAATTTGCACTTCGCGGAAAAAAAGCAAAATTGACATCGTAATTTACAGACTCGACACCTTACATTAAAAAGTTTAGTCTTCTTGCATGTCTCATGTTACTAGCAGCAGAGGTAAGGAGGACATTACATTGAGCGGCATACTTTGGGCAATACAAGGAACAATGTTTCACTGATTCAGAGTCAACACCGCAGTCGCAAATAGGCGACGCAAAACTATGAATTTTGAGGACATTTTCCCCAAGACTAGAAAACCCAAGTCAAAGGTTGTTTTGATCAACAGATACACGCCTTGAAAAATAACAATCATGTGACCTACTGTAAGTATTTCTCCTGACCAAGTACAATTCTCCCATTTGATGTTGAAAACTAGATATGATACATAAATGTATTCAACTTAAGCATTTAGGATAGTGCTGCATAGGCCTAAGAAAGCGATCAAATGACCATTATCCTTTGTAAAGACTGTGAATTCATTTCCGGTGAACGTGCAAATAATCGTGTCCGCGTGATAAAAAAGAAAAAAATATCGCAACCTTTTTATGCTCGTAAACGTTCTTAAAAGCAAGAAGATTTGACAAGCTTTCCTGTCAAGAATGTGATAATGACATTACAGTAATCGTGACACCGTAACACTTATTAGAAGGCAAGCAAGGACTTGACCTGTAGACGCACGAGAAACTTATCATCTTACTTTTCCGCCCTGTTTTGCTACAGGCAACGATTGCGTTACAATTTTGGATTTTTGCACTGAATGTATGCCAAGTTGAAGCAAATCATGCTACTGAATTTAACCCAACTAATTACTACTGTATTTACGAGGAGAATTAATCAAATCTGTTTAACAAATTCCACATACAAATGCTATCATAATAAAAATTATCTTATGTGTTATAACAATCCAATGAAAGTAACTTACCGGACTTGAACGTCTTTTAAATCGCGAAATTTGCCATTCTCCATTCAGTTTCCATGCTGAGAAATTCAACTTTTCCAAATTCCAAGAAGAAATTACATTGTTACGAATGTAGTTTTCGCTTCCATCTCGCATACGATGTCTCAACTCGGAATTTACTCATTTCGCGCCATAACGTAATTTTGGCGGGGAATAGGCAAATAAATGCTGTTTGTCTCTGTGTTGTGTAAAAGTTCATTCCCAACAGATCAAGCCTTGTTTTGAAATACTTAGAACGCATTCAACGTTCAAGCAAGCGATCTAATGAAATTGATTTGACAGAAGAGAACATGGCTCGTTAGCCGACGCACTAGAGTACGATCTTGAAGGAGTTATCGATCGAACGCGATTTATTTCACGGGAATTCCTATTGTGACCACAGCTGTATTGTTTTCCTAAACCGCTAGCTGATTGGCCAAACCAGTAGCTAATTTCGTGGCTACGCGAGCCACAAACTACCACGAAGAATATTGATCAGCCAAACACCATGAAGTTTATTTCAACATAGTATTATACGAGCCTAGTACAGCACCTTTTGTCATGCAACAGGATATCCGTAGTTAATCGAGCCCACCGTGCCTTCTTGAGTTTTTAATTTTAGATTAGTGCAAATGAAAGCGTATTCCTTTCTTGAGTAGTAAGCTTTTTAAAAACTTCTAGGAAAATGAGACCTATTAAATCGAGAACTCGTTGTAGTATAATTCAAGTTGTTGCTAATGTTTAGCTGGCAACTTCCTGTTGATTCGCATTTCGTTCATCCTTGAAAATGTCATCTACTTCTTAGCGCCTAAATAATACAACACTCAGTTGTCCTCTTTCGCAATGCTTTTCATACCTTTCGTATCTGCATGTAGTCGCTGATACAATGCGTACTAGGCTCAGCGAAATGTCAACATTTTCAAGATATCTTAACAACCGTCTAAAGAATCCTTGTTACTGTTTATGTTATCAGTATGAAACTTTGCTTCCGAGTCGCTGATCGTCTTCGAACAGCTTGAAGCTTACAGCGTTTGAGTCGGTGACTCGTTATATTATAACTAATGTCACATCATACTCGATCGTCCTCTTTCGAATATGTGGTCGATAAAATAGGTTGCATTAAGTTGACTGAAATGCCATTTTCTTCAACACGTCTGAACAAACTTCAAAGGACTCAGTTTAATTCTTTGTTTTATCAGTACAAGATGTTGCCTTTTGGGTTGATGACCGTCTTCAAACAGCTCGAAGCGTGCCGGGTTTGAGTTAGTTAAAAATTATTCATCGATAATATCATACTGTTCTCAATTGCCCTCGAAGTTTACTCGGGCTGAGTTGGTGAAGCGTGACTATGACAGTCATATAACAGTTAGTTGTCCACTTTCGCAACGCATCTTTTGTGGTCACGAAAAAAATCTGCTCAGCGAAATTTCAACATTTTCAAGATATCTTTACAACTGTCTAAAGAATCCTTTTTAATCTTCATTTTGATAGTATGCCTCTTTGCTTCTGAGTAGAAGATTGCCTTCAAACAGCTCAAAGCTTACAGTGTTTGAGTTAGTGAATCATTACATCATTAGTAATGTCACATTACAATCCGATTGTCCTCTTTCGGGTCTGTGGTCAATAAAATGGTTTGCATTTAGCTGATCGAAATGATTCAGTCTATTTCTATATTTCACAAGTCGGCAATGTTGCCTCCAGGTTAATAATCGCCTTCAAACAGCTCGAAGCGTACAGGGTTTGAGTCAGATGATAATTATACATCGATAATGTCATGCTGTTCTCATTTGTCCTCTTTTTTGCAATGCTTTGCGAATCTGTGGTCGATACAACAATTTCCATTAAGGTTATCGAAACGCAACATACTTTAAGATCTCTTAACAAACGTCGAATGATTCAGTTTGATTCTTCGTTTCAACAATGGGCAATGTTGCCTCTTATTGCCGGTCCTCTCAAGGAGCTCGAAGCCGTTACATGGCTTGAGTTAATAAATCACAACATCCTCGCTAATTTCATATTACACTCAGTTGTCCTCTTTCTCAACGCTTTACGAAGCTTTGTCGATTAAATAATTGGCATTTAGTTCATCAAAATATAACGCACGTCACAAACGTCCTAAGTATCATCTAACTCTTCCGTTGGTATACACTTTTCCAACTGAGTTACGGGTCGCTCTTTAGGAGTTCGAAGCATCTTCCTTCATTTTACTGGATTTTTGTTGTCAGAAAGAGACTTTGGACCGAGCTTGCCTGCCCCATTTTTACGGTCCGAAGGGTCTTTGTCTAGTTTTGCGTTCATTTGTTTTTGTGTGTGTGTGTGCGTGTGTGTGTGTGTGTGTGGGGATGTGTTTGATTGTTTGCTTTTTCAAATAAAACGAGCAAGTTCTTTAAGAAACTGTGGTGCTGCTCCTTGAGAGGACCGGCAATAAGAGGCAACATTGCCCATTGTTGAAACGAAGAATCAAACTGAATCATTCGACGTTTGTTAAGAGATCTTAAAGTATGTTGCGTTTCGATAACCTTAATGGAAATTGTTGTATCGACCACAGATTCGCAAAGCATTGCAAGGGTAAGAGGACAAATGAGAACAGCATGACATTATCGATGTATAATTATCATCTGACTCAAACCCTGTACGCTTCGAGCTGTTTGAAGGTGATTATTAACCTGGAGGCAACATTGCCGACTTGTGAAATATAGAAATAGACTGAATCATTTCGATCAGCTAAATGCAAACCATTTTATTGACCACAGACCCGAAAGAGGACAATCGGATTGTAATGTGACATTACTAATGATGTAATGATTCACTAACTCAAACACTGTAAGCTTTGAGCTGTTTGAAGGCAATCTTCTACTCAGAAGCAAAGAGGCATACTATCAAAATGAAGATTAAAAAGGATTCTTTAGACAGTTGTAAAGATATCTTGAAAATGTTGAAATTTCGCTGAGCAGATTTTTTTTCGTGACCACAAAAGATGCGTTGCGAAAGTGGACAACTAACTGTTACATGACTGTCGTAGTCACGCTTCACCAACTCAGCCCGAGTAAACTTCGAGGGCAATTGAGAACAGTATGATATTATCGATGAATAATTTTTAACTAACTCAAACCCGGCACGCTTCGAGCTGTTTGAAGACGGTCATCAACCCAAAAGGCAACATCTTGTACTGATAAAACAAAGAATTAAACTGAGTCCTTTGAAGTTTGTTCAGACGTGTTGAAGAAAATGGCATTTCAGTCAACTTAATGCAACCTATTTTATCGACCACATATTCGAAAGAGGACGATCGAGTATGATGTGACATTAGTTATAATATAACGAGTCACCGACTCAAACGCTGTAAGCTTCAAGCTGTTCGAAGACGATCAGCGACTCGGAAGAAAAGTTTCATACTGATAACATAAACAGTAACAAGGATTCTTTAGACGGTTGTTAAGATATCTTGAAAATGTTGACATTTCGCTGAGCCTAGTACGCATTGTATCAGCGACTACATGCAGACACGAAAGGTATGAAAAGCATTGCGAAAGAGGGCAACTGAGTGTTGTATTATTTAGGCGCTAAGAAGTAGATGACATTTTCAAGGATGAACGAAATGCGAATCAACAGGAAGTTGCCAGCTAAACATTAGCAACAACTTGAATTATACTACAACGAGTTCTCGATTTAATAGGTCTCATTTTCCTAGAAGTTTTTAAAAAGCTTACTACTCAAGAAAGGAATACGCTTTCATTTTGCACTAACTCAAGAAGGCACGGTGGGCTCGATTAACTACGGATATCCT